CTTGGGTTTCATAATGGAGTCTGATAGTGCTCATAGGATCTCTTCACTTTTAAAAAGTCTTAATTTTCTCTCCTCTTCCACTTGAATCACTTCTAGATTCCTATCATTCAAATCGCTTAATTTTTCTTCAATCTTATCTGTTCCATTTCCAGTGATTTTCTAATGCATCCTTCATCTCACTTCATGAATTCTTCAGCTCCAGAATTTATTTGGTTCTTTTTTATAATTTCAGTCTTTGTTAAAGTACCGCTTCTGTTCATTAATTTTATTCCATGAATTCATTGAATTGCTTGAGTTTTCTTGTGGGTTGAATTTCTTCATAACAGCTATTTTGAATTCTTTATCAATTAGATAATAATATTCCATGTCTTTGAGTCTGGTTGCTAGGAAATTGTGTGTGTGTGTGTTTTTTTTTTTTTTGTCATACTTTATCACTGTGATTTTTTCATAGTATTAAATGTGCCTCTGCCATCGCATCTGAAGTAGCAAATGTCTTATTTGGGTAAGGCTTTATTTGATTCTAACTGTTCAACAGGTTGGCCCTTAGAAGTCTTTTTCCGGCAGAAGGTGGCTCTATAGGACAAGTTTTCGGTTTCTCTTATTGGTGTGCTTGATTTGCTGCTGAACTTGGGAGGGTGTCGGTAAAAACAAGCTGGCTTAAAAAAAAAAAAAAAGAAAAGGGCTGGCAGCAGTGTGGGGAGATGTGTGTGCTTATTAGCACATGGAGCTTTACTTGTGCCCACGACCAGGTAGGGGAATCCTCGAGTTGGGGAGTCCCAGAATTCTGTTGGCAGACCTCTTGCTGTAATCCAGGGCAGACAGCAAGAAATGCATTCTCTTCAGTTCTCTTCAGAGAACTGCCTCTTCCTTTTTCCCTTCTCCATCGCCCCGCCCCTCAGTGATTGCAGTCTCCTCAGAGAAAGCAGTGGGTCCCTGCAGCTGCAGCATACAAGTCTAAGAAGACTCCCCACTCACCTTCGCTCTCCATCTCCTTTGCCATTAAGGTCACCACTGCCTATGCCACCACTCCCCTGGCTTTGGAGCCTCCTCCGAGGTCCAATTAACCTGTTTTCAGATGCACAGATGGAACGATCCCTTGGGTATCCTGGAGTGCTGTGCAAAGTCACCTGTGCTCAGTTATGGATGTCCAAATAGTTGTAAATTGAAGGGGAGAGAAAACAGTAACGACTCATGCTGCCATGATGCTGACGTCACTCTCAGTCGCAGTCTTTGTTTTAAAGCTCATTTGGTTTGAGTATAGCTGCCCCAGATTTCTTTTGGTTTCCATTTGCATGGAATGTCTTTTTCCATCCTTTCACTTGTCAGTCTGTGTTTCTTTACATCTGAACTCTCCTGTAGGCAGCATACAGATGGATCTTGTGGGGTTTTTGTTGGTTTTTTGTTTTTTAAATCTATTCAGCCACTCTGTCTTTCGGAGAATTTAGTCCACTTACATTTAAAGTAATTATTGATAGTTATGTACTTATGGCCATTTTGTTGGTTTCTAGCTGTTTTGCAGTTCTTCTGTTCCTTCATTTCTTGCTCTCTTCCTTTGTAATTTGATGACTTCTGTAGTGGTATGCTTAGATTCCTTTATTTTTTGTGTATCTACTATACAGTTTAGTTTTGTGGTTACTATGAGGTTTACCTATAACAAGTTATATTTATCACAGTCTATTAAGTTGATAACTTGTTTGAACCCATTCCAAAACCCTACATTTTTATACCCCTACCCCACATTTTTTATTTTTGATGTCACATTTTAAATCCTTTTATGTTGTATATCCTTTAATTACTATACTTTTACCTCTTTTGTCTTTTAACCTTCACACGAGTTTTTAAGTAATTAATTCACCAACTTTACATTATTCTGAATTTTACTGTATATTTTACCTTTACTTTCATATGTTTTCTTCTTATTAATTAGTACCCTTTCATTTCACCTTAAGTCCCTTTAACATTCTTTGTAAGGACAGTTTAATAGTGATGAACTCCTTCAGCATTTGCTTATCTGGGAAACTCTAATTTTTCCCTTTAATTCTGAATGACAACTTTGCTGGGCAGAGTATTCTTGGTTGGAAATTTTATTATTTTTTTTTTTCAGCCCTTTGCAGGCTAGAAGGCACAATATATTCAAAGTTTCTGCTGAAAAACCTACTGACAGTGTTATGGGGGTTCCCTTGTACATAACACGTTGTTTTTCTCTTATTGCTTTTAAAGTTCTCTTTGTCTAACTTTTTACTTTTTCATTATAATGTGTCTTAGTGTGGGTCTCTTTGGGTTCACCTTATTTGGAACTCTGTGGGCTACCTGGAACTGGCTGTTTGTTTCCTTCCCCAGGTTAAGGAAGTTTTCACCTGTCATTTCTTCAAACAAGTTTTCTGCTTCCTTCTCTTTTCTGGGATCCCTATAATGCAGATGTTCGTCTGCCTGATGCCTGATGTTTTCCCATAAGTTCCTTAAGCTATCTTCATTTTTTTCCATTCTTTTTCTTTTTGCTACTCTGATTGAATTCCACTGTCCTTTCTCCTGATCTTTTCTTCTTCTAGTCTACTGTTGAACCCTTCCTATGTATATTTCAGTTCAGTTATTCTTCAGTTCTGTGACTGCTATTTTGTACTTTCTTATTGTTCTGTGTCTTTGTCGAAGTTCTGTGTTCATCCATTCTTCTCCTTTGTGGGTCTCATGGAGTTCAGTGAGCATCTTTATGACCATTATTTTGAACTCTTTATCAGGTCACTCACGTCTCTCCGTTTCATTAAGGACTTTTCCCGTGCTTTTACCTTGTTTCATTTGGAACACATTCCTCTGTTTCTTCATTTTCCTTGACACTTTGTATTGGTTTCTACACTTTAGATAAAACAGCCACCTCTTCCAGTCTTGAAGGAGTGGCCTTGTGTAGGAGATAAAGCTTATCATTCAACTTTGTCCTAGCTCTTGGCTGTTAAACCTTTGTGATTGTTCAAGCAGCCTATTTTATTTTTGGTGGATCCCAGTATGTGAAGGTGTGCTGAGATCTGTCAGTGTCCCAAAGAGAGTAGGAGCTCAGTCAGCACCTGGGTTCGGGCTGACTGGAAGCCAGACCCTCAGCAGCTTTTAAAGCATGCAAAAGTATACAATCCTATGAGATGGTAAGCGGTAAGTCCCACTGGCCACCAGGGCCGGGTGATCTAGAGGTGTCCCCTGGCAGCAGCTGAACATATTCAAGTACCAGAGGAAGGTAGAAGCTCCTTTCTAGGGGGTAATGGCAAGCTGTAGTGAAGCAGAGGGCGAGCGCAAAGGTGGCTCCCACAGCCTCCACTCCTGCTAAGTATTACAGCAGGCCCCTAGGTGTGTGTTAAATTAGATTCCTGGCCCTCCAGCTAACTTGAGATAAGCCAATCTGTGCTGGGGTCTGTGGCTGTTAAGTCCAAGTGTGCCAGCCCATTAAGAATCATTTTTTCAGTTCACTCGTTTTGTGGGTTTTGTGGATGAGCCTTATTGGCTTGTCTCAAGTGTACATCTTAAAAGTTGGGGTACCAGACGTGGCCTTCAAACTTGGTTTTTCAGGGAGAAGCTCCAGTTTTTCAGTTCACTAGAGGTAAGGTTTTTAAGAAGATTGTGACTAAGTTTCTCTTACCTGCTCTAATATGGGTTTTCTTCTCATTTGCCTGATAAGTAGGAGTCACTCAGCTAGTTTTTTTCTTTTTTTTTTCTATTTTTTTCTTTTTTTTAGAGGAAATTGTCTTGTTCTACATTTAGCTGTAGATTTGGTGTGTCCATGAAAGGAGGTGAGTTCAGGCTCTTCCTGTTGCCATCTTGACTTGGAACTGTTTTAAAGCTGTACCTTTAATTTCTCATAATTAGAACATATGATTCAGATGGTTATTACTATGATACCCTAAGAGTCCGAAGGGATCCAGAAGTAGTCTAATTCAACTTCCATTCCTTCCTTTCCTAATAGGAAGCTCCCAACTGTTATGTTCCATTAATGCCCAATTCTAAGAAACTGGAACTTATAGCTTCTACTCCTTAGCCTTAGTTCTACTTTCTACAGCAACATGAAAGATTATACCTGTATGATTAATGTGCTATCCAAGTAGAAATGGTTGGAAGTGGTGGTCTGGGTCTTGGGAGAGGTGAAGGTATAAAACACATTCTCCCATCCCAGCGTTCCCTTACAATCCATTACAGCATGAACTCTGAGGCCCAAAGGCAGACTGTTAAGAGATCACGTAAACTAAAGAGGAATTAATGTTATAGCAACCAGCGTGTCATTGATGATCTCAGGAAGGACTTAAAAAGAAGCAGAAATCTTAGATCTTTCAAGGAGGTGAAGGGAAATACGGTAGTAGGCAGAAAGGCTACTAAGTTTGAATATTGCTTTTAAAGTGGTGAAAAAACTTGAACATGTGTATTATAAAGGAAAAGAATCAATAGAGATGAAGTGATTGAAGATACTGGAGAAAGCTGATTGACTGCTGGGAAGAGACTGAAGAGTAAGGAGAGGGGAGAGGGTTTGTAAGTGGGAAAGGGACCTCGGGCACTTCCTGTAGGGTGGACTCAGTTTTTGTCTTTGAAGCTGAAGGCAAGGCGATCTGCAGACAGTGGGGGAATGTGGCTGGAAGGGGGTGTGAAGAATGTGGGCTTTGGGGAAGGGAAGAGGGCCTAGCACAGGGCCAGCACAAACAGCTTAGTTGACATTGGGCACCATAAAATTACAGTGGCCTCATCCATACTTTCTACAACATTCTCCAGATCAGCACAGGACTCTGGTGTTGTTTCAACAATTATGTTAAGTATGTTCATTTAGATTTCTAAAGTACCAGTTAGCTTTTAAAAAAATAAGTTTTAAAACTTCAATTTCTTTACCAAGACAGGTTAGAGGATAGGTAATTATTTAATCAATGCTTAAATAATTTTATTCTAAATAGATTACAATCAGAAATCAAATGACTAAAGAATAAATGCCACTTCATGTAATTGCTAAACAGGTTTGTAGTATATTTATTGCTATTTACCTTTGCAGAATCCTTTGCTTTTCCCCCATTCTTTGGAGCTTTGGAGCTGGAAGCAGCCTTCTTCTTGTCTTTGCCCTTAAGCAAAGAAAAGGTCATGAGGCTATTGCTATCATTAATCTATCTAGCAATTAAGTATTGGCTGCAAGCAAATCAATTCAGATTATTCTTTCGTTAGTAGCCTGGAGATATTCCGATTTAATTAATAATGGAAAACTCTGGGTGTTTTAGTCATAATTTTTTGAACAGTGGTGAATGTACACTGAAGTGATTAAGGTAGGAGGTAAAAAGGATAAAAATGAGGATAATATGGGTCACACTGATGCTCTGACAATTTCCATGATGCATGATTCACCCAAACATTATTTTGCTCATCAAAACAGCTTGTTTCTCTTGGGACTGATTTTTAGGTGCCAATAGCGTAAGAATAGGACATTATTTTAAGTGTTATGGAAGAGAAAATAATAGAAATCACCACAGAGAGCTGGGAGAAGTTACATATAAAAATAAAGTCCCTTTACCAAAAAGGCATTATTTATGATTTTCCAAAAGTGAGAAACACAATGCTGAGGCACTAGAAATTAAATCATCAAATATGGGTAGGACTGATAATTCAGTGATTGGGAGATATGCTTAATAACAGCCAAGGTAATAGCAAACAGAGCTGCAGTATTAATTCTAAAAATAACAGTGAAGGATACCCATTTCATTTATGTATTTGATTTATGGAAGAGTATAATTTATAGGTACAGCGCCACACACATACACTTGAGTTACACATTTTTTTCATTCACTAATAATCATGTTTTGAGCATCCGCTAGTACTAACGCTGAGCACTGAGGTAAAAGACACATCAGTATTGTATAAAGTACACAGCTCAGTGGTGTAATGCACACATGACTGACTAAAGGTGACCCAGAGGGTAGGGAAGCACAGGGGAGAGGCTTCCAGCTGTGGCCTGGGGAAGGAAGAAGCAGTAAAGGAAGTTTTCCTGAAGGAAGGAGGGACGGGGCCAGCCCTCAGGGATGAGTCAGCCAGCTGGGGAGAAACTCCAGAACCATGTGCATAAGAGGGTGGGGTGTAGTTAGGGGCTGCTTTCCTTTTAGATGAACACAAAGCATTACTGTTGTACAACACTATAGTGTGGCAATCAAAAACTAACCACAGTGGAAAAGCAACATGAAAGACATTTCTGAAACAATGTTAATGTATTATATATGGACTCAAAGTACAATTATAAAACATATGGAAAAAAAAAACCCTAGAAATATACTAAATAGTATATGCACGATAGTGGAATTATATTTTTTCTCTATTTTCAGTTCTCTATGGCCTCATTCAATTCATTTTACAGTATAAAATTCCATGTATACATGAACAGACATTCAAAGAAAGTATGAAAAAGCATAGTACCTTTGCTCTGTTCTCTGAGATTTCTGTAGTTGAAGGACAGCTGTCAAAATCCCCTGAGAGGGCATCAATGGGGTCTTGGTCATCTGCAGGTTTCTGAGATAATAGAAATAACCATCAGTGAAGAAGCACAAGGTAAAAATGCTATATGGTACATTTTCTCACATCACTGAAAATAAAAGATGCTTATTAAAAAAATACCTTTCTCACATCTCTCCTAACAGACTTAATGTTCTATGAAACAGGAAAACCTTGACAGCTTTATCTTCTTTTATACCAGTTGCTTAGTATTCTCTGAGCCTTGATTTTCTACTCTGGAAAATGGAGCTGCCTATCTTGAAAGGTTCTAGGGAAGACTAAATGAAAGAAATATACACACCCTCACATGCCCTTGGCATCATACCAAGCACAGGGCAGGCATTCAGAATTTTAGATTTCTAAATTGTAAAAGTCACAGCTAAAATTAAAATAAAAATCTTTTTGTAGAAACATGCAGCAATGGTATTTACCTTTGATTCTTTGGGTTTCTTTGTAGGTGGCTTCACTGGTTTGCCCTTAACAACAAAGCAGACTATTGGTTACATATAAATCTTTGTAAAGGTTTTACTTAGGTATAGTCAGTATCTATATAATCTACATTACCCAATGACTTGATTTGGGACAATGGAGTATATATTTGCAATAACTGATAAACTGGGGTTCCTACTATTTCTCCACCAGCTTTGCTTAATTACTATCATATAACCATTTCAGTAGCCTTGGGGAAAATGCAAGAGTGTCTGGTCTTGGAAGTGAAAGAAAAACTATTTGGGAACTTTCTGCCATCATGTGTTATAACTTAAAATGTCACAAAAAGTAACTTGTGTTTTTATGTCCTATTTTCTATAGCTTATATTTCAGTAGGATTTGAAGCCCTAACACAGCCTGTAGGTACATTAGGGTTTTTCAGTCAGCATTACAAGTATAACTCATCATCTACAAAGGCAAGGTCATTAAATAATGCATTTCCCAAAGAATATAAGCAGGGTCAGGTGATACTATCAAAGCAGGGAGGATTCTCGCAGGACACAGAATTGCTATCTTGAATACTGAATGAAAGCAAGGAAAGTTGATTCCTGTAAGAGGAGACACTGAAGCTGGTAACACTCTTTAAACCAGGGATTCATCAAACCCATGAAATGCAGCAGTACAGAAAGGAGGATGTAATTTGGACCTCCCTGTTTTTGATGACAGGCCTGGAAAGAGTTATTTATCATTAATTGACTTGCAACTAGGAGCCGAATAGGAAGGGGAGAAGTACAGACCAGGTAGACTCAAGAAAAACTGGCTTCCATGTTAGAGACAAAAGGCCAGGACTTTCTGACAATGTATTTAGATACAGAAATAGGACTTGTGGATGGGAATACGGTTTTGCCTGTCTTCACTCAACGGTACTGGTGGTGGTATAGGAGAAGGCAGAAAGGGAGACCCCGGGTCTTGGAGGTGCTATATCTGCCCTATTATTCTAATACTCATGCCTTTACTGTTCTCCCTAAACAGAGAGACTCTGCTTCAGTCAGGGTTACAAATATTTTATAGCCTTTTCTTGTAAAGAGAATTCATCTGTGTATATGCTTTGGAATCATTTTAAGCATCAGTGAGTGAACATTATTGAACTCTATCTATGCCACTGTGCCCAGTGTAAGTGAACGTAAAATGATATTGGCTCAAATAAATATTAAACAGAATTCCAGACAGCCTGCTCATCAGGGACACATTAAAAATAGTCAGGTTACATTTTTATGCTTTTGTTAAAGTGTACCTCCTGTTCATTTCAAGTGAGATTTGAATTTTAAAAGCTTTGGGGTACATATCCAATCTAGACATTTGCCTTCGTTTACCTCATTATTATCCAAGAGATCTCTGTATTCAGGTGGGATTGTGTCATCTCTTTCTCCCAGCTTGTCCCTATGTTCAGCTTTAGCTTTTTCCTATAAACATTGAACAAGTATAATTAATATTTCTTTCCTCCTTCACTTAGGGAATATATTCTGAAATGTAGTATTTATTGTACATTTCTGAGGCAGAACCCATGGTCTTATATTTTTAAGCAATGGTACAACAAAATGGATGACTTGAACAGACTATTAGTTGAGAAAAAATAGTAAACCCATGTGCTTCTATATGTCAATCCACATCTGTGCATTTTCTACTTGTATTTTAAATTGAAATAAATGATTAAATAATTCTCAGAAACCATGTAAGGAGATAAAACCCAAGGGTAAAAAATATTTTTTTCTGTGAGTTTCACTTTTCAAATACAAAAATCAAATCACTGTACCTTGGCATGCAAAGAAGTAATAGTTACCTCTTTGACTATTTCTAAGTGACCCTGAAGGACCAGGACATGTAGCAAATCTGAATGCACATGCTGACTGCTTGTTGCAGGTGAGGGGATACCTGCTGTTGAGTAAGCAGTACTTACCTTCCAACACCCCCACCTCAGTGGGGCATGCCTGGTCTCTCACAGATTCAGTGACACTGACTCTACCCCACCTATGGTGGGGGTGAAGACTTTAGATTTTATTTTTTTTGCATCATAATTTTGTTTTTCAAATATAAGTTCACATCAGTATTCCTATGACAATGATAGAATCAAGACCTAAGAATTCTTTGAAATGCTCTGTCTTTGGGACATCGATTTGGCTGGTCAGTTACTTCTTGATTCCAAGCCAAATGGATTGTTGAATATCATATATTATTAAGTATAAATAAGTACTTATATATGTTGTATAAGATATGTAAAATTAATTGTTTGTGCCTTGTAGACACACTATGTCTGCACAGTGCTGACCAGCTCTCTTTCTTTTGGAGTTTGCATGCATAGTTATGACGGCAGAGAAGGCTGCTAGGGGAACCTCTGCCAACTAGGTTGACCTCTGCCACTAGATGCACAGAACATGTCAACCTAAAAAATACACATAGATGGGTATCGGATATATGATGTGTTTTCTACCAGATAAAACCAGACAAAGTTAATGTGGGGCAAGAATAAAATTAACAAAGCAGAGCTGTGCTCTTCCATCATAACAAGGTTTGGTCCCACCAACAGGACACTTGCCTGAATCTATGACATGGCATAGTTCTCATTGAGGAAGTAAAGAGATACAGCAGACCACAGACAGGAAAAAATGAGATTTAAGTTATCCAACTGTTCATGAACTTCAAAGTTAGAAGTGTTGTTTTTTTTTTTTTCCTTTTGTACGGAGAGTAGGGTATTTTATGCTATAAATCTTAAATTTTCACTTTTTTTCTTTTACCTTGACTTTATCTTTTATTGGTTTGTTCTCATCTGGATCAGGCTGCCTTTGCCCTAGACTGTCAGAAAGTTGATCCAGGGCATCATCGAGTTCTTTGTTGTCACTCTGTTAAAAGTAAATTTGAATTAGTCACTGGTTGGCCAGATCAGATTACCTATTAGAGTGTGGCCCAAATACTGCCACCAAGACTTCCATAAACTCATGGGATTTTCACCAGAGAGATGGGCAGGGTGGGTGGAAGACACCAGACTGCCAACCCTTGGTCGGTGCTTTTTCTCCCTGATCTCTGGCACTTCTCTGAGCCTGTCTACCCCTGCCATACCCCCAGATGTCTTTCTCTTCCAAGAAAATAGGTCCCTCCTAAAAAGATGGGGCTCCTGGCTTGATTTGCTGGGAAATGTGTCTTAAGGTGCTTTCAGTATATGCAACACTGACTGGTGACAGTCTAATGTGCCCAGCAAAGAAAACTCACATGAATTATGATAGCTTACTCTTTGATTCCCAAGTGTATTCATTTAAGTAAAGCTTTATACCTAGTTTTAGTGTTAGCTCAAAAAAAAAAAAAAAAATTAAAACTAGAGCCTCTGATGGGAAAAGTGATGAGAAAATTGTCATTCTAATATATACTTTTGAAAGCCAAAAAGGCTTTTGATTGCAGATGTCTACTAATAGCCTCAATTAGGGCAAAACGTCTCCCCTGAGTATTAAGAACTAAAGTACAAATGGCAGCCTGGGTTACTGAATCTTCCTTTGTTGTATAGGGAATTTCACACACAGCATTTTACTGGTTTTAAGTGCTTCACAAGAGCCCAGGATTATAGCTGCTAATAGTGGAGCTGCCCATAGCCAGGTCTGGGCTTTGTCATTTGTGTCTCTGGATATTTTCAGATGATCCTGAGGCTGACCCAACAGGATGAAAATTCATTCAGAATCTCAGACTACAGCAGTAGTAAGCTTTGATGCTACATCAAAAGGAAAGGAAGCATAGCTGACTTCACTAAAGCTACTTCATCTCCATCTAGCAAACAGGGCACTTCTCAACCAAAGGAGATGGGGATCTGGTTTAGAGTCTCTCTGCCTTTTGATGTGCCGTGGTCTCCTCGATTATTTCACATTTGGTACTACACAGAAAATTAATCAAGGAAGTCTGGAAAAGCTTTGGTCCCACAGTCCTGCCTCAGAACATGTAAATAATTAAAACAATATTGATACTGAGGTTTTTCTACTGCCAGCATGAAAATGAAAAACTTTTACTGGTGTGAATGGGAGGAAAACAATGCTATTCTATGACATATTTGTGAATTGTTACGGGTGGGAGAAGCACAGACACTGAACAATTCCATAAAAAAACACCTGAAGTTAAGTAATGGATAGTATTTACAGCATGTGTCAAGAAGAATACAGAGGAGAGAATCAAGAAAGCTTAAAATTTCTTAAAAATCTAATAATTCAAATATATACACAATGCATATTGTACTTTCACTTCTAATAAAGCAACAATATTAAGCTCCTCAACTATGTATAAAATATTTTCACATATATTGTTTCATTTAATCATTTAAGACATTCTGTCATCTCCCCAAATCACCAATCTTACTTATTCTGAACTAGAAGGTGCCCAGTCTTCCTAACAATTGTGTTTACTTCCATGTACCCTAAGTAGGAATCCTATTTTCTTTCTTGTTGTTGCTGTGGTGCACATAAACATTTATAAAATATGTTGCTTACTGGAGTGTCAGGGGGTGGGACTGCGGAGTGGGTGGCTGAGGCTGGGGTCTGGGAGACCACTTCAGAGATGGCAGCGGAAAGTTTAGCGTCCTCCAATTGCTTCTATAAACAAACAAAAAAAAAATTTACACAATTTCCTATTCATGGTTTGTTTATATATTTCTTGTTGTATATTTAGGTTATTTGTAATTTTTCAGCTTCCTTCTTTATAACTGGTTACCCTAAATCAAAGTTCTAGAAGCTATTGTTTTTATAGTGCTAGCTATATTCTGCCAAACTGCCCTCTCAAAAACTGCAGAAATTCATAGAGCTGAAAGCAATGAATGAGCACACCTGTTTCCCATGGCCTTGCTCATCTAAATATTTTTAATTCTGATAATATATTAGGTATAAAATGATGTACTACTGTTGCTTTTATACTTGGTATATGGTATGAGGTTTCATTTTATTATTTTTTTCTTAATGTTAAATAAAATTATTCTAGAATCTTTATAAAATGATTTCTTCTCTCATTTTAAAGACATACTAAATCTGTCATTTGTGTTCATTTCTCAATTTCTTTTTCCATTGACCTGTGCCTTTGCTTTCTGAATCTGAACTGTATTTTTTCTTTATTGTTGTACTAAAGCCTAGTTGTTTAGTTAGGTTAATCTCCAAAAAGAGTGAATGAAAATGCTTTTCAGTATTTTTTCATATTTTTATGCATTTATTTTTCAAATATAGAATAATTGAGTTATATAAAGTAACTTGTTGCTATTTTAATAAAAATATTAACCTATAAAATGACTGGAATAATTATCATTCTTTTAAGTCATTTAGTCAAACTGTCTTAGATGTATGGGTTTTAATTTCTTTACGCTCTTGTTTTTCTATTCATTTCTTCTATTGCAGCTTTCTTTACATAAGTCAGACATCTCATTATATTATTTTTACATTTTCTAATTTTATTTTTTATAAATATTTAGATAACTATATTTTATTTTACTTTATTCTATTTTTCAACTGATATATATTTTCTATGCCATTGTCTACACAGGATTAAATAACCCAGACCCCACAAAAAATGGTTCTACAGTTATATAAGTTTGATAACTCTAACAGACTTACAATATGTTTGCAAATAAAAAAGCCCTAAAAAGCCTACAGTTGAGAAACCTGCTTACCATTACACAACATTTCCCAAACTTTCTAGTAACAGAATTCCCTTTGAGAGACTGTCTATTCTCATGAATTTTCCCTAGAGGTAATCTGGAAAATGATCACATTGTAGAGTATCAATTGGTAAAGTTGTCTAAGAAATTTAGATATACTCAATTTTAAATTCTCTTTTCATAGATGTACTTGAGAGAGTACACGCCCACTGGTTCACTTAGTTACACTGTTTAAAATTTTTATTGTGTTGGCACGGTATTTCATGATGCAACACATTTTTAATGCTACAGTGGGTTAAGGGTCATTAATTTTTTGACTGTTTTCTCTGCTCCCAAGTCAGATTCTAAGTCATTTATTTCTGCTTCCCTAAAAGTAAGGAAATAAAACCAGGAGTTTCAGACTTACAAATGATGAAGTGTTTGGGGGACCAACGAAGTCCTCAGACAAAGCATCAAGAAGGAAGTCTTCACTCATGTGCTGTAAGAACCAGGAAATGTATCAACAAACACCACTTCATTTGTTTCCTCTTCAAAATGATGTCACGTTCACATGCTGATCAACTCATTAGAAAGAAAGCTATGCCCTTCCTGAATTAACAGTCAGGGCCAAATGAGAAAGATATACTCAGAGAAAACTGGCTTGCTTACTGGAAGCGATTCCTTGGACTCTTTTGGCAGGAGTGGTTTCCCATCTTTGTCCTATCCAGGGCGAGAAAAATATGGCATTGAATCATTTCACATTTATCCTAAGTATGAACAGTTGTAAACATTATAAGGAGTCAACAGGTTATACACCAGATGTTGTACATTATAAATCAGATTCATCATTTCAGGTAACAGATTCTCTGACAAGAGAATATGCCCTAATTAATTTATGTCAACAAACAGCTCACATACATCAGGCATCCCCTATGCACATGGTCCGCAAAATATATTGTAGAAGCCCATAATCTAGTGCAGGAGAAAAACATAAACTGTTAACATAGTGTGGCATGTGGTGCTGTGACAGGGTGCTTGCAGGACCTTGTGGGAGAACAGGGATGATGAACCTGGCAAGGATGATTTGCAGAAGTTGACTAGAAAAAGCTGTTTAATTTAAAGGGCAACAACAGATCCAATAATATGCATCAATTCTGTGCCCATCTCTGCAGTATACACTGAGAATACCATAGAACCTAGACAGACTAAGTCCCTGCCCTAGGGAGCTCATCCTGTGGGTGGGATGCTCCGAAACAAGGCTCAGATAATGCCAAGCTTCAAATGACTCTTATGTGCCACTTCTGAGTAACAGGAAAAATCAATAAAGCATTTGGGGCTCTTTAGTAAAAGGAGGTTTGTAAATAACTAGTAAATCCCATTTATCCAGATACACAAAAATAAATAAGTGCAAGGATACGTATCTATATTTCTTCTAATAAACTGGTCAAGGTGATTTTTGTTTGTTTTAGTTTATTTAAAATGTGAGGAGGTGCAATGGTTTAGAGTATTACCTGCTTCCCCTTGTCTGACATAAACTCCTTTACCTTTTCCCCCTTTTCTATCTCCTCTGCAAGTTCACTCGTACCTTCTGACTATTCTTCAGTTAGGAGGCAAAGCAGAACCTGAGCTTGCTCTTCACCATCCCTTAGCTGCATAGGCAGCACATTTCCCTAGGGACACATGGGACCACTGGGGGCACATCTGCTCCACACTCAAACTGAAATCACCCCATATCTGGAAGCAGAAACTTGTGGGCTATGCTCAGGGAGCTGAATCTCACTGGAGAGGCCTGATGTGAGTGTAGTTGATGAATAGCAGTATAGAATTTAAACAAGAGATCAAGCCAACCCTCATAAAAATGTTATAAAACAGTAGGTAATTAATAATGTATGAGATCAACAAGTCCAGAAGAGGCTGAAACAACCACAGAGTAAAATGGTCAAGGAAAGCCAATTGACTGCTTAAAAACTGCTACTAAAATTCAGCAAAGGGAGAGAGAAAGCTACCACACTCCTACCATGAAGAGTTACCGCATTTACCAAACGGGGCGGGGGGAGGTCAGTAGTAACAGAACACTGACCCTTAAGGACCTCTCTAAAAACCTTGCAAATCAGCATACACACAAGCCCAAATTAATAGAAATGTCATAGTTTCAACTGAATCATGAAATTCAGAATCAAGTAGAATAATAATCTTTTAATCAGGGAGAGCTCAAGAGAGTTCCTGTCTTTGCTAAAGAAATGGACTTGTGCACATAGATGAGTAAGAGGGGTAGTGATTTGATTTTCCCAAAATGTTAATGAAGTTTAGTTGAATATTCTCTTAAGTAATGGTATGTTATGAAGATGACTGGCATTTGTTCTATTGTCCATGTGTCTGCACCTGTTCAAGTGGCTGTATTTAAACTACAAAGTTCATAATGGGGTCTCCTCCATTTGACTTGCTCTGAACAATCTGTACATTCAATGGGCCAATTTATCACTTTTCTCCATGTTAAACAGGCACTCTTATTTTTTTCAATTTATTCTGAGTTGCAAATTTCTCCTGATAGTAAATAGGTGTTCTTCATTTTGCTTTTCCTATCTATATAACGGTTTTCTAAGTTTTTCTATTTCTGGTCTTGTAAGAAACCATGTATTAGACAGGAAAAAAATGAGATAGCTAGCTTAGACATTTGATTTCTCTCACTTCAGGGAGGAGTGAAAGGCCACTCAGGAATATTTTAGCTTCATAACTGGTGTGCTAACAGGATATTAGTGACTAACACTATTTGGTATTTGAAATATTAAGAAACAAAATCTTTATATTCCAGGTGTGCTTCCATGTCCCTTCTTTATGTATATGGAGTTCAGTCTGAATTAAGAGAAAAATACCCAGCCTATTTACCTTGACCTCTTCTAATCTATAGTCGGGAGGAATTGTTTCTTCTTTTTCACCAAGTTTTTCACGATCCTCCTCTTTGGCTTTCTCCTAAATAAAAAATATACCATTTTCATTGTTAATACATCTTTTCTCCATAGAGAGAATTTCCTGAATGACTAAAGCTGAGGTAAATATAGCTATTGTTAGAACGTACATACGACCATATTTATAGAGTTCCTACAGCACCCTCATCTTTAACACTATCTGAGTTTAGCAAGCGCAGACCCTACCATCAAGCCTGCTGGGCTAAAAGGCAGTCATAAGGAGAAGGAGGCAGCTGCCACTCCTCTCTTGAGTCCACAGTGACAGGAATGCAAGGGGGCAAGGTGAGACTCAGAACTCTGACGTGTGTGTGATGTTCATCCACTGCTGCGCTCAAGCACTGATGCTCACTCAGGTTTGGTTTATTAAGCAGGATATGCACAGTAACAGCCAGCTAGTCATGTATTATGGGAAATATATATTTTAAAAAATGGCTAACTTATTTGGGCAATGAGGGCAAGCGATGATTGTTACTTTCTAGGAGTATCTGAGCTGCTGTTACCTTGACTTTATCCTCCACAGGCTTTCCATCTTCTGGATCTGCTTCCTTTTTCCCCAGGCTACCTGCCAAGGCTTCCACAGCATCATCTGGCACCATGCCCTTCTAAAAGTACAGTAGTGGGTATACTAAGTATGTGGTTAGTGCCTCCTTTTAAAAGAGACTATGTCATACAATTCAGAAGGGCATATCCATATTTCACACCTAGATAAGCACATATCATATTTTAATAATTGGAATTATCAACTGAATTAGAATCTATGTTTAAAGAATCTAAAATGTTAAAAATTAGAGCAAGGTTCTTATATTAAGCTTGTGCAACTTAGACACTGAGAAACTTTAAAGATCTACCCCAGTATTTTGGATTGGAAATAAGGAAGGCAAAGGAAAGGGTGTATCATGAAGACGTTGAAAGCTGGAAAAGAAGAAAAATGATTTTCTGGTGATTGTTCTTGAAATGGCACAGAAAAATATTTTTGGAAAATTTTCTGTGAAATAGCCTGACCTATCCTAGAGGCGGCAGCTCTGGCTGAGCCTCTGCTGAAGCACAGAAGCCTGTGTTCTCCTGGTGGCTTCTACTGGTCAAAGTGAATTCATGCTGATTCAGGTGACTACCTGTGAATGACTAGCCTGAGTGGACCAGTGAGAGCCATCTACCCGTGGTCCAGTTGTTCAAAATAAAATGTGTTCCTTCTTATTTAGTGAGCTCCTGCCATGCTGATATTTTCAAAGAAACTGGGTGAACACAGCATAGATAGTATAAGGGAAAACAAAAACTGTGTTTGGGCCAAAATATAAGACTAGACCTGGCTTCTTCTAAACCCATGATCCATATATTAGTGGCTCATAAACTCAATTTATAGTTAATGGCCAGGACTTTTTTTATTGAACGACTAGAATAGAAAATAGAATGCATCTTACATAACAAGGGTAAGTGCCATTCATTAAATTTGTGTCTTTTGTGTGGGTACTAGGTTGTAATATCAATGTATTTCCTACTGTTGGCCTTGGTCAAAAATGTAAAAGCCCTTGAATTAAGCAGTCTCAAAGTTTATTCTTATCTGGAAAGTCTATGACCTCATGTTGAATATATACTGGACTTTTAGAGTAAAAGTGTCTGTTTTATAGCTTAGCCATCATTCCAAGTAAGAAAAGCTGTTTTCTCCACTAAGCTGCATTGCAAAAGGAAAGATCACCAATGAGGAAAAGGGAGCCTGAGTGGAAAGTGATTTATCACCATCTAGTGGTTGGGCACTGAATAGAGTTTATTCTAAGGACAACGAAAATCCCTGATATATAATGTTTGGGGTTATATCCAAATTGCAAGAGTTACAGCAGGTTCCCAAGCCTGAGATAAGCACTCTGAGCTGCTACTGGTCCCAGGAACCAGCTCATGCTTTACTTCTGTTTCCTCCTCCTCTCTGCTGTAGCATCATCCTTGGAAACCACTGCTTCACAAGCCCTTTGGCTTAAGAGATAAGTGAAACAAAAGTTAGAAGAAGCAGTCTTAAGAACTAAGGAATCTGAAAATAGGACTAAGGACTGAAACTTCTGTTTCTGTAGTACTTTATGTTGCCAGACTCAGAGCTAGAACTCAGGCCTCTAGATTTCCTCAATAAACTTTTATACAAACAACCCACAAACCTTTCTCTGGTCTTTTTATTCCCTTCTGCTCACTAATCCTCAAACCTTTCTTGAGCCTTCTGACTTTTATCATACTCTGCAGCTATTCTCTCTGGTTCCCAAGGGTGTCACAATCCCAGAAATGCCAACTAACCTCAGTGACTGTAACCTTGGCAACCATAGTAACCAGAGCTGGTGGAACAGAGGCCTGGAAAGGCAGCCAGAGAAGAAAACACAAGGGCTCTTTTTTTTTTTTTTTCTGTCCACTAAACATTCAATGCTTGACACTACAGGCAGGATGTAGTTGGAATGGAACTAACTGAGCCCTCTAAGGCCTTGGCAGTCATACATGGCACGAGGTGTAGATGACTCATTTTTAGGTCACAAGAGTTCTGCCCTGGAATGCTGGCTATTGTCTTTTTGATTCCAGTCACTGCCTCTGTTTCTACTTCTTACATCAGTCCCAGATTCTGTCCTTTTTCCTGGTCTTTACCACTGTGGCCTGTGACCTGGTTCCTACAATGTAAAAGTTTCTGGAGAGTACCCTGAAACCTCAAAAAAAAAAGGGGGGGAAGGGGAGGGGGTTTAAGTCCTGTTTCTAAGGCAGGAGGCAGACCCTGGACTTTGAGGGGATTTGCAGTTGGCACCGAGGACTTCCCTGACAGAAAGCAACCACTTCCGGGTACCCAGGACCCTTGCCCTATACCTTCTTCAAGGCCCCATTTTCTCAAATAACTAAATGCACATATCCCAAGTATACCAAGTGCCTCGCACCTCTGTACTTGGCTTATCTTCGGCTCACTGGTCTCCTCAGGAAAACAGTGCTAATCCCACTTCTCAGGGTGATACTGCCCTCCACTCGCAAGCCTTTCCTAAATCTCTCTAGAGAATGAGGAACCCAACGTTCCTTCTGCCCGTTTTCCATATAAGAGTGATCAAGCTGCACTGTAAGCTTGCGATCTGGCCCATATCCACACTAGACTCAAAAGGTAGCTTTGGGCAGGAGCCATATTTTCATTTCAGCTGAGGCTCTCTGAAGGGTTAAGTTAGCTCTTCAGAGTATAGATCCACTGAGTCTGTAGTAATGGAACATATTCCACTGACGTTATTCTCTAAGTCAGATTCTATAGGCTAATGGAAACAAAACCCACTGAATTCAAAAGGAAACAAAGATTCAACTAGTTAAATATCTTACTTCATCCAAAACAGAGAATACAAGAGAGGCAAGTAATAAAGAAAGGGATTGAGAAACTACCCTCCCTTCAGGTGGGAAGGGTCATGACGATATTGGCACAGATTATTCTACCAGGAGAGTCAGTAAAAGGTAACATTGGGCTGTTTGCAGAACTCCAAACAGGCTTGAAAGATGCAAAAGCATGGTTATCCACAATAGTTGAGGAACTAGAAAGAATTTCAGAAGGTGAAAGAAAAACACAGCTTGTAGCAATTTAATTAAAAATTTAAATACAGCCTGAATTTCTAGCATAACCTTGAAGTCCCCAAATAGTAGATATTCTAGCTATATAAGATTTTATTATTTTGTCAGAATAAAATATGTTGATGACATGGAGCAGAGAGTGGATGGGAGGAAGAACAGAATACTAATTTCCCAAGTCATTTCTCAGTGCCCGGAGGATCACTCACTCACCAAGGTGGCTGGCTTGGGTGGTGCTGACTGTATACTACACATGGAGGCCCGAGGCACATCCTCTCCCACAGGAGCTGGGGCATGAGGCACATCTTCTCCCACAGGAGCTGGGGCGCCCGCCTGAGATTCCTGTGGAAAGAAGCAGGTACAATGAAGAAGTTTTAGAAATATCTGGTTAGTAACACCGAACAACAATGCTATACTATACGCTGTGAGTATGATTTTCCCGAACACCTATAATAGTAAGTAAGTCAAGGCACGTTAAAACTCTTTGGCTACCATTATTTCAACTTAGTTTTACCTCTTACCTTAGGTAGATTACTTAACTTCTATGAGACTCAGTTTCCACATCTGTAAAATGAGAACAATAATAGTACCTACATCTCAAGAGTTGATGGGGGCTTTAATAAAAAATGAAGTGCTTTGCATAGTACCTGGGAATATAGTAAACTCAATAACTTTATAGCAACTATTATTATTTGTGTTATTTCTCATATAATAATACAATATACCAATTATATAATGTAATACTTTATATAAATACATCATTTTTATATATCTAAGAGTACCTTGTACATTGTAAATAACTATGTACAAATGCAAGGTAGTGATACCATCCCAAAATGTGGTCCCTGGACCAGTAGCCTCAGCTTTACCAGGGAACTTGTTAGAAATGAAAATTCTTAGGTCTCACCCCAACATACTAAATAAGAAATTCTGGGTATAGGGCCCAGCCATCTCTGTTTCAACAAACCCTCAGGGGATCCTGACATATCTAAAGTTTCAGAACCAATGTACTATCTTACTTTATCACAAGGTAAAATTTCAAATTGTTTTTAATTCAGACATTTATGGAACTCTAGACCATATAACATGCAAGGTATTCGGCAGGTGATCATCAACAGGCTATGATTTCTTCTTTTGAAGAACTTACTATTTAAAACTATGTATAAATGCAAGATGTAAAGGACCAACAGAGCTAAAAACTTGTTTGCAAGAAATGTCTTAACAGAGATATATAAAGAAAGAACTTAGTTTTACCTCTTAGTTTTACCTTTACCTGGAATGTTATATTCTGTGCAATAAGTGTTGGCAGGGTAGTAAGTTTTAGGGAGGGAAAAGCAAGAGACAAAGGCCATATTTTAGCAGCCTTAAGAGGATGACTAAGATTTTAGTTTATCTAGAATTAGGAGGGAAAGTTATTCCATACAGAAGGAACCATACAAGAAAAGCCATGGAGATACACGATGTCACAGTTTAGTGATGTGGGGACACACCTTGGTAGGAATGGAAGCTGGGGCCAGAACACATTAGTAGGAACTTCTATTTTGTAGGAAATGGGAAGCTCCTGAGGGTTGGAGCAGGAGAATGATGTGACTATAAGCAAGCCCGAGAAAGAATAATTCAGGTTGACATACAGGATGAACTGGAAGGAGACTGAAGACAGAAGCCATTGCCATTTTGAGGAGAGTGATGATGACTACTTTTAACTAGGTCAGTTACAAAAGCAGGAATAGAAAAGGAAAGCATGGGTGTGAATGCTTTCCTGAAGGAATAATTATAGGATTTAAACTGTAAGAATTACAGGGTCAGCTTGGGGAAAGAAAGTACATTCAGAAAAAGGCAAGACAAAAACTGCATTAAAAAAAAGATAGCATAATGGGCCTTTTTATCAACCACTCATGCTAAAATACTTTTGGCCTCATATTTTTAAGATTATAGAAAAATGTTAAAAAAAAAAAAAAAGCAAAACTAGAGACTTTTTAAAAAAAGAAACATACTTCTGTTCGTTCAGTTGGCTTAGATTGTTTTTCTTTACATTTATTCTGGTCAAAATCTTCTGAAAGCTCATCAATGAGTTCTGATTCACTCAGTGGCTGTAAGATAAGAGACATTATATATTATGGAATGACTATTTTTTACTTTGTTAAAAAGTTTCCACACAGAACTTTTCCCCCAATAACACATATTAAGATCTAAAACCAAAAGCTAATTGATATAGGGCATTTCATTCATTAATGTGTAAGATAAATGTCATGCGGCAAGTAAGAAATATTAAATACCTCAGTGCCACAAAAATGTGAATGGTTTATTTAAAGTTTTCCTGATACTGCAATTTCAGAGTAATTCTGTTAAAATAAAACTGCCTATTCTTTCCAATGAAGACGTGTAGATTTTTTCTTTTGTGATTTATTTTACTTCCTTATGACATCCCTTCTGAGTAAGTCAGAGGAGAAGATCATATACTCCTCTCCTATGACCATGTGGGGTTTTGGTGGAAAAGTTCTGCCATCCCTAGTTTCTTCAGGGGAAGTGTATTATTTATTCAGGGCATGTAGAGATTTTGACTAATAACAGTAATCAATGACAGAATGACATGTGATTCAGAAGCTGGGCCCCTGTGTTGGACAGCCTGAATTTGGAGTTCTGGCCTTGCTATTTTCCAGCTGTGTGACCCTTAGGCTATATATATAATCCTTCTGTATCTTAGTTTCCTCACCTGTAAAATGAGAATAATAATAGCATCTTCCTCATTCAGTGAGGACTCAAAAAGATAACATATGAAAGGCATCTATGGCAGTGTCAGGCACATAGTAAGTGATTAATAAATGTTGCTGCTGAGAATTATCGTGACAGATAACTTCGCTGGTCAATACCGACTTAAGTAATGGCTGTTTATAATCATTAGAGTATTTGATACTGTGATTAGAAACAAACTCTAAGTGCTAACTATCTAAATTAAGTGCCCTCTTGACATTAGCTCCTAATGTTCAATGAACATGAACTAGAAATTTATAATAGCCTAGTAATAACCCCGAAGAAAATAATTATTAAAATATGTGAAAAGGAGTCAGAGAGATGAGCCGAGTGTCCCTGTCCAGTTTCCCTCTCCTTCATACTAGGCTGGCGTGCCAAGCCTCCAGAGTGAAATCTTGTCTCCAAATTATCTCAATTTATGCTTTACATTTCCATAAGTATCAGGAAAAAACTTATTTACTAACTTTGGATTTTTCTTCAGATTCTGGCAATAGTGGTTTTCCATCTTTATCCTGTGAATAAAATTGAAAAGTCAATGAAAATGAAAAAGAAAATTTTGCTTTCATGTCCTATTAAGTTTGTCTTGGGGAATTCCAAGATATGAGGGGAGAGCTTGTTTTTTCCTTTAAGTGGATTTCTATTTCAGATTTATTTTTTATAAAGTATTAAAATAAAGAGTAGAGATGTAAAGTCAAGAGACCAAATGTTATAAAATATAATGCATATCTACTTTTCTTTAAAAGTTACTAAAAAAATTCTATCTATTTGATAGAAAAATATTAATTTTAAAAAATCTTTAGCAAGAAAGATGCAGCTATATTAATGGAATATTTTTTTTAAAAGTCTCAATTCTCCAACCCAGGATGAAGAGGTAGATGTTATTCCTACAATACTGTTTTAGGTTTTTCTGGATATGAGGTTTCACAATTTAGAATATTTCTAAAAATGAAAAACTTTCCATTTATAAGCATATATAAAAATAGCAACTATTTCCCATCATGTGTTTATGTGTATCACTTCAAAGATAAATTACAGATATAATTACAGGAGCTAGTCCACCATCCTTACTTCAAACCGAAACCAACAAAACCATCTTAACTGAGAAAATAACTGTACATTTATATCTACCATTTAGAAGATCGATGGTGCTTTTATCCATATAGCAGGTAGAGAAAAAAATTATTCCCAAATTATTCCTTCTGCTTTAAGGTTAAGAATTTACATCAAGCATTGTTAATAGTAGAAAAACTTGGATTTGTGAGAATTTTAATGACCATATGGTCACGACTTAGGAAACCATTCCTTAAAGGGAACAATTGCAGAGAGCAGAGAAGAAAGGGTCCTGGGTTTCCAGAGTCAGTGTAAGAACCAGGACAGATGATCCTTAAGCATCATGGGGACAGGCCCCACAAACATGGAACGCAAACATGGGAACGCAAGAGGCCTTATGCTGCAGTCGTGCACGGTGACTAACAATGTACCGTGGCTGGTTTTAATCTGTACTCGGCTGGGACTGTTTCGTCATCTTCACCACACTTCTTTAGTTTCTCTTCTTTGGCTTTTGCCTGACAAAAGTGGAGAAAAAAATAAACAAACATTTGGATGATACTCGTAAAATAAGATGGCATCACTTTATGTACTTTAAGGGTGCTGTAGAGAAGACTAAATCAGATAAAAGTGTCTGCACGTGCTTTGTAAACTACAGACTGTGGTGAGTGGCTTTGAGGACGGCAGCAAGGAGAATGACAGAAAAATAAGCCAGGAGTCCTAGGGAGGTTTCCCTGTCCTGCCTCGCACACTCTGTGACCTTGGGAAGCCACTTAGTTTTTCTTCGACTAGGTTTCTTCAGCTATAAAATGGGGTTATTAGTAATCCTTACCTAGCTATTGACTTGTAAGGATCACCAGAGAAAAGTAAATAACATACTCAAGACAGTTAAGCACAGTGCAGAATTTAGTTACAATGATTTTAACAGACTTCATTTGTCTTACTCAAGGAGGTAGCTAGTTACCTATGGGGGAGAAAGCAATCAGTTCTCATGCATGTTGACCACAGTTCAGAAATGGAAGAAGCAGCCCGCCACAAATCTTGGCAGATCCATGGGGAATTAAAAAGATTCACTTCAACAACACCAGAACTTCTCTGGATTAATGTACTATGAACAATCAAGTCTGTTAAAAATAAAAGTGTACCGTAGTCCTATAATAGATCACTGGCTTCTAGGATATAACATTTGTATTTTGAACAACTATTGAGTAACGCTAAGTTCCACGCTATATAACAATTGTAATCTATAGCAAGGTATGGATTTAATCACAAACCGCGGAGCTCTTGGGCACAAAGTGAGGTGTGTGCATTGTCACTTAGCAAATTCCAGCTCAACCCACTTTTCCCATCTACATTATCAGCCAGGTAGTTCTCCATCGAATGATTAGTCAACTGATTAATTTTAAAAAATATTAAGCACTTTAATGAGGCAGGCATTCTTCTAGGCTTTGGAATTGCAGTTTTATTGTTCTATAGAATAACAACTCATTAAAAGATGGATGAAAGGTTTTTTTTTTTTTTTAACATTTTTACTTATATTTCTACTGCATTATATAGAGGAAGCCCCACTATGTAGCGGCACTCCTTACTTCATAGATTTGTGAGGTCTCCACCCATAAACCAACCTTTGTGAAGGTCAGGGGTCATCTGTTTAATAGAGACTGTCTTCTCCACTCCACTTAGTTACATGCACAGCTAGATCCTTTTCATTTCTTTTTGATCTTTATATTCTTAAAATGTCTGCACTGTAGGCACTGAAAACAGTATCTATACTGAATTGAATTAGCATTAGATTAGGTAACTACACAGAAACTAGATTAGGTAACTACACAGGGAGATTTCTAATGAGGTATCAGTATAAATATTATTTTATACCTTATAAAAATGACAAGTAGGCATGAACCTCTTCTCTGAAGTATTATGTAATTTCGCCTCTGCCTGCTCTCTAGTCTAGAATGTATTGAGTGGCTGTGGACCCTATAGTATGTGACCTTTATGAGCCCTATCACAACATCAGACTATCCAGGAAGTAATGAATTTACCATTAGATAGTAAAAATTCAGCCTTAGAATACAGAGGATTGGAAGATCTTAGGAAATGTTGACATTTTGTACATTACAAAAAAAAAGAAAAAGAAAAACAAGTGGAAAAGCGAAAACCAGTGGAGAAAGTAGAAAAGAACAGTTCTTTTTATTGAAATTTTAGGAGTTTACTGCTGTTGAGGTTTTCTGGAGGAAATTTAATATACTTATATGCATTTCTAAACTAGTTACCCAAAGTGCTTAATAAGTTCTTTACTTTTTTTTTTTTTATATCTACTTATCTGATTTTAGGTACTCTAAGCTTCTTTTTGTCCTGAGATTTATGTTTACAACTTCCCTCCCCAAATTATTGTTTCATTAAATCACCCTAATTATCTGTAAGAAGCCCAAGGCAAAAGTGCAATTGGCTCACTGCCATGGAGCCTTCTGGCGGTGGAACCTCAACTCAGCTTAGTTGGATACCACCCCTCTCCTGGGGTTCTGCCAGGACCACCCTTTCCTTCTATCTGGCTGCTCCCAGTAATGGGTATCTCGCATTGTGTTTTAGTCAAAGTTTCTTTTCTTCCCAATACATTACTTGGTCCTGGAGGACAAGGACTGCTTCCTCGGCTCCCCTGTGTTCGCCTTCACAAAACCTGTGGTGCCACACAGCGTCCGGTGAGCCCTCAAGGAAAGTCGAAGATAGAAACTGGCCCATTTTGGACCAGGGCAGTCCCAGACTCAGGAAGAGTTGCTGGGAGTTGGTGAGACTCACCTTCCCCAGTAACTCAGAACAGGAAGTGACAGCAGAGGCAGTGGCATTGTGACAGCGACATTTGCCAGCTTCCCTCCCTGAGCTGATAGGGTGGTGTTCCTGAGGGACCTCGGGCTGCATTCTCATGTCCTCCCCACCCCCTACTACCTTGTCAGAAATGTCCTCAGGGCAACTCTCTTCTTTCCTTCCTCTTTTCCCTCAGAGAACTCAGTAGAAAAATTCTTTAAGAAACTGTCATTTAATATTAAAACTCTCCACCAAAAATAAGCTTGCTTTGGCTTACAGAAGGCTTGTTAAGATCTTGTTAAATGTGGTGGGGTAAAAACTCTCCAGTATTACACTCTAAACAGGCAACAGCTTCAGTTACAGAGTAATTGTTGCTGGATTTTATTCTAATTTGAGACAAATTTTCAACATCTTTCCCCATAATTATAAACAGAATAGTCTCCACACCCACCTACAGTCATCTCCCTCTCCTCTTATAAAGAGAAGCACCCAAACCCCTTCTGAAAATACAAGTTTCCAATTTCCACAACAGCAGACAAAACTATTTCTCACCAGGCCACTGCCCCTGCGTTATCTTGTTTAGTCAGGTGTCATTTAAGCATTGGCAAAGGAGATTAGTGTTCATTTTAAATATTAAAATTCTAGATGGTTTACAAGACACACTCATATATCCTTCTTGGTTACTAACTCCTCAGCAATAAATAATCTTAATTAATCAGACCCTAAAGGTAAGGCAGAATGAAGAGTTCATTTTAAATCTCCAATAAAAGTTATATAAGAATTGTAAATATGCATAACACATTTAGTTTTGTAACCTGCAGATTAATGTGCTTTGTATATGAACTCCAAGGTCAATACCTCATCGACTTCTTTAATGGAGCTGAGGTCGAGCTCAGGTTCTGACTTCCGGCTGCCCAGAGAAGCTGAAAGAGCTTCTAATGCTTGATCACTCATTGTGTCCTGTTAAAAAGGAAAAAGTCTGTCCATTAAAAAAAGAGAACACCTCTTTAGCCTGAATAATCCATCCACTTCTTTGTGAAATATTAAAAATTTTAAGTCTACAAAATGAACCATCAGTTGGGGAAGGACTTTAGCAAGGCAATTTTATTTGAAACCTAGCAGAAGAGAAATAATCAAGAACTTACCAGTGAGTGAAAACTGGAGCTAAGACACTTTTCTACAGTAACAGTGCTCTCAGGCACACACTGCACCTCTTATTTAGCAAGTCAGAGGTATAACTACGATGATAATTATGCCATTATAAAATACTCATATCAAAATAAAAGCTCAAGAAGAAAACTTTCGCTATCCTGTTTTTCTTTTTCTAAAAATAACTTCTGACAACCCTGTCCTTTAAAGCAAACCAGCTAAGCCTAGAAAGTAGAGAAACCTGAGGTGGCCCCCACTGCCTTCTTCTCTGAAGGCACAATGACTGATGGTTGTAGGAACTCCCACTCTCAGGGGTGTGGTGTTCTTACTGTTCCTTCAGCCAGCTAGATAAAAATAAACTGTCCACTCCGGGAGGGGAGAGGCAGAGCAGCTCCAACAGAAACTGTCCCTTGTAGTATCTGGACTGGGGCATCTTTTCTCATCCAGCCCAGCGGTATAGAACCACATTTTAGGTTTCGTGAGAATTAAGTTGATTGTGGTTAAGAGAGGTAGACAGAAGCAGCTACAACATTCTTCTAGTAATTTCACAAGTCTCAAACTCCTTTAGGAAACCACGTTAAAGACTTTATGTTCCAAGAGTATAATTTCTCTGGTGTCTTGCCCTTCTGCGTATTGTAATGGTGAGATAGTCTTGTTTCGTGACCAAAGAGGTTGTGTCGAAATCTCTCATAAGCATTTGTGGAAACAGAAAAGACCTGCCTGGAGATAATCAGTATCAGCCTGATTGGTTTCACTATTCCACACAGACCAGAGGGAGAAAAGATGCTCCTTGTCATATGTAATGCACTATTAGGATTGTCTTGAATCAGCTAGTTCAGCTTTAGGAAAACAACTGCTGTCAGGTGGACCATGGTTACTTTCAAAGAAGTAATTATTTATACCTCCTCCACCTTTCTTTTTTTCTCGTGCAGTGGGACAGCACTTTTGATTACTCCAGCTGACTGAGCTTTCAAAACCTCTCCTGTAGATTTCTGAAAAACAAAACACAAAAGATTAGATTTATAGATGAGAGAAATGTAGTAGCCGGAACTAAAAAGCAGTTGTTTTAAAGTTCAAGAGGGTTTCTAACAAGTTCCACTAATAACATTGGAAACAATACCTCTTCCTCAGTTTCCTTTCCACCAGCGGTAGGAGAACTGCAGGTGAAGTCAGATGACAAGGCATCTATGGCATCATCGGGCCCCATGGGTTTCTAAAGAAACAGGCACCATGATGGGTAACATGTGGGAATCATTCAAGTGAAGGATCAGATTATAAACCCAGCGTATGAAGAATGTATTTGGCGATTCCTTTACCACCAAATGAGATCTGTTAATAAAATAACTCTGATGGAAGCCTATGTATAGAAGGGAAAGGGTTTTGCAATATTATTTTCTTGTTCCCCTCTTTTAAATGTATTACATGTTAGGATATATTCTCATTCTATTTTTATCAACATTTTATCCTAAAACTTTCTTGGCTCCTCCCTCTTCTGTTCAAAAAAACTCCATATGAAACCAGTAAACACTGAGACAACCCCCATATCCACCTCCTTTCTCCGAACAAACAGAAACTTTATCTGACTTAAAGATTACTTTAGCCATAATCCCAAAATACAGAATAGCCCTACCTGCCAACCAAAGATATAAAAAATGTTCATCTGGATCTTAGAGGACATTTATATAAACTCACCGAAGAGTCTGGAGGAGGGCCTGTGATCCCTTCTTTCTTCTGAAACAAATATTCATTGGATAATGTTGAGAAAGTGAAATAAACCCTCATAATTAGCAAAATGTATTCCTCAGTGAAGGTTATGGGTTGAACTGTGTCCTCCCAAAATTCATATTGCTGAAGTCCTAACCCCTAGTACCTCAGAATGTGACTGTATTTGGAGACAGGGCCTTTAAAGAGGCAATTAAAGTTAAATGAGGATTTTAGGATGGACCCTAACCAATATAACTTGTGTTCTTATAAAAGGGGGGGAAACGTGGACTCAGAGATACACATGGAGGAAAGGCAGCATGAACAGATATAGGGAGAAGATGGCCATCTGCAAGCCAAGGAGAGGGGCCTGGAACAAATCCTTCCCTCAGAAGGAACCATCCCTGTCCGCACCTTGATGCCAGTCTTCTGGCCTCCAGGACTACAAGATGATGCCTTTCTGCTGTTTAAGCCAGTCTGTGGTACTTTGTTACGGCAGCCCTAGCAAACTAATACAGTGAGTGCCATACTAATGGCAGCTTCACATGCATCATTTTATTTTCTAAATTAAAAAATTTGTAGGTATATCGTTGTGATAAATATTATATTCCAAAAAGGAAACAGTAAAGGTAAACGGTTATTTAACTTACAGCCAAAAGTTCCCTATATTTGGGAGGAATTGTGGCTTCCCTTTTACCCAATTCCTCTATGTAGGTAGAAGTCATTGGATCCTGGAACAAAAATCACACAAATAGAGATATTATATAATTATTTAGCTGAGAATGTTATACGTACATTCTGATACCAAAGTACTATTCCATTCTTAATTTATGAAACTATTGTTAACCCTTTCCAATCCCATTCCCCTTCTTTGTTAACCAGAGATAGCCACCATTCTGAACTTTATCATATCTACCCACTTAAAGTTGAGGATATTTTAAAGCAATATTGTTCTTGTAGGTATCCAAGAACAATATACAGCAGTACTTTGTATATTTTCAAATGTTATATAAATGGTATCATAATCTATATAGCATTCTGTAATGTATTATTTTTAATCAAAATGATGTTTTTGTAATGTATCCATGTTGATACATTATGATCCATTTTAACCACTAGAAAGTATTCCATCACCTTATCTTCTCTCCTGAACATAATCATTTCCAAATGTTTCAGCTGTTCTTATAGCTCCCTGTACACCTGGGTGAGGCTCCCTCTGGGGAATCAGTCCTCTCAGACATGGAATTGCTCTCTTCTGAGTTGTTAGATTTTTACATTTTGCCAACCTGTTAAGTATGAAGTGATATCTCTTCGTGTTTTATATCATTTTCCTAATTACTAGAGAGACTTTCATTTTGTCTGTTTATTGGCCAATCAAGTTATCCCCTAAGTTTTCTATTGGGTTGTCTTTCTTACTTTTTAAAATTCTTCACAAATTCTGCACACAAATCCTTTGTTGTGTCTGTTGCAAATATTTCCTTCTAGTCTATGGCATGTCTTTTCTTTTTTAAAAAAATATCAAGGAACACATAATATTCTTGCTTTTTAAGAATTAGGAATAAAGACATACTGAGGGTGGTTATATCTACAGACTGAAATAAGTTCAAGTCCATGGGACTCAGATTTTGAGGACTGAAAAGTCTTTGTGACTCAAGAGGCTGCATGTTGGCACCTGTCTCAGCACAATCAATAAATGTTTGCTGAATCAATGTAATAGTATAGCTACCATAGGATAAAACATTTTTATCCTCAACACTGATTTTAGTTGCTGATTTTAATACTGACATCATCCCATTTCTCTCTAAGCAACAAAACACTAGGTATACTTTTGTGCATCATGACCTTATTTTGCTCTCCTACCCATTAAGAATGACTCTTTACAGATACCAAGATCACATACCAAAACTTCAGGTCCAGTATATGTTGTGTTATCTTCTTCAGTTTCTTCAGGTTCCCCTAAAGTGTCTATTAAGTCATCCAAAGCAGCATCCATGCTTGACTGGAAAAAAAAAAAAAAGAGAGAGAGCAGATATTTAAATGCTATTTGTTATATATATTTCACTTTTGACTTTTTTTTAAAACTAAAAACACCATTCTATGTGGAAAAAATACCAAAACACCAAAAGTTCTTTAACTATCAAAACAGTTAAAATCTGGCCCCTGATAGTCCTTATTATTTAACATCTCAGAGTATAGATTATAGGGTAGAAAGATAAAAAGCCACATTCAAGTAGGAATCATAATTTTAATAAATCTAAAGGCATTAACTACATGAGCGAATGTATGGTTCATTAAAGCTGCCAGACCAATTTACTGACAGTTAAAAAAAATGAACAAAATACAAAGAATTATGACCATGTTGCTATATGCAATAGGAGAAATGCTTGATATTTATTGCTGATCAGTAGTTTTCCAGAGTTAAATATGCAAAGAACCACAACAAAATCTCACTATAGTACCTCTTCCAAATAAAATCTATGTCAAAAGTGGATTGCCCTGTGTTTTTTCATTCATTTGTGGGTTTTGTTTTTGTTGTTGTTCATTTGCTTCCCCAAAGATGTTCACAAATTACTTGAAAGGGATGTTAAACTTATAAGAAGTGACAGTTTACTCTGTCAATATGTGTTTGAAACAATATAATGAATGAAAGAATGCCACCATCCTATTTTTCAGGTTAAGAACAATTCATTGTGAAGAAAAACCTGTATTTAAGTAGTAAAGGGAAAGATCCTTTACTATTTAACTCAGAGTAAAAGTGACAAGTTTTTGTTCTATTTAACTGAGTTAAATAGATCCTTTACTATTTAATTCAGATTAAAAGTGGTTGTTTTTGTTTGTTTGTTTGTTTGTTTTGCAACTATTATATTCCCACTACAACATTAGGAACTTACCTGATCATGTAACAGAATTTGGGGCCTGTTAGCATTAGACTAATTTGACTGGAAATTTCAGAATGAAGAAGTACCTGACATTCTTTGGTAATACTGCTGGTTAAAGAAAGTGTCTTTTTGTAGGAAAGAAAGTGAAATGTAAACCCCATGGAATGTAACTGGAGTTTTGAGAACAGAGGGTTATAATATAAAGTGTTATAAACATATATGATAAAATCATACTTTTGACCTACTCATATTAGCTTGAAACAATTCATTAGAAAGATCCATTAAGTTACCCCCTTGTACTGTTTGCCCTCAAGAAATCAAGAAATAGAGACTAAATAAATATCTTATGCAGAAATGCACTACTATCTTCATACCTCTCCAGATGGTTTACCCGGTTTGGATTCAACTGGTACAGCCGAGGTTAATGATTTATTTTCTTTTTTCTGGTGGGGATTTAGAAAGAAAAAAAACAAAACTTCTTCACATACATTTTAAAATTCAATAATAATACATATTTAAAAATGAATTCATTATAACAGTAAAAGCCTTGATCATATACTGAACATATGCTCTGTGCCAGACACTGTGTTGTATGTGTTACATCCTTCTTTAGAACAGCATAAATAATATTAATGTATATTTGTAATGTGAAAAGCAAGGCTCAGAGAGCTTAAGTAACCTTTCTCAGGTCACACAGTGAAAAACAGAATCAAGATTTGAATCTAAAACTGCCGTCTCTTTCTTTACTACTCTTGGTTGCCTCTCCCAAGGCCCAACGCCAAGATTTGCAAGACCCGTAAATTCCTTCAATATGTATGTGGCCACTTCTAGCTGTTGCTATTTTAGTCTTTGCTCCCACACATCAAGATCTCCATACCCCTTTCTTTGGCATCTCATCATCTACTCTTTCCTTTATTTTCCTAAAATAAATTTCCTTTCTACCACTGTACTTCAGTTGCTCTATCAAAGATTGCCAATAATTTCCCAGTCTGATTTCCATGCCTTAACCCAGACATAATCTTCTCTGAAGTCTGACCCTGGTGAGGATCCCTCTGACTCATCTCTCACAGCAGCCAGGACCAAGCACCATCCCGGTTCTACTAGTCATTTGTGTGCCCTTCGTTCTCTGCCACTTCTGGCATCTCCTCTGCTTTGCCCCCAACTGCATACACTAAACATTTCTGTGCTGTGCTGGTGGCCCTGTTCAAAATCATCCTCTAGAACAAGGAACCAAATGTTTTCAGGGCCTGGCAGGAACTAAATGGGTGAAGTTGTTGGGGTTAAGACGAATTAAATATTTACTTTTAATCTGAGTTAAATAGTAAAAGGTCTTTCCTCAGATTGTTGTTTTCCTCTTTGAATGCAGGTTATTCTTCACAGTGAATCATTCTTAACTTCAAAAAATAGAATGGCAGCATGTTTTCATTCATTATACTGATTTAAGCCCATATGGACAGAGTGAACTGTCCCATTTGCCAGTTCCCGAAATCTGGGCAGTAGAGAATGGAGGTGAAGAGAACACCAGCTGAAACATGCTGGCTGTACCTCAGTGTCCTCATTTGTGAGATGCCCCAATTTCACACAGTGACCGTACTTGCCTCAGAGATTGTGAGGGTAAGATAAATTAATCTTTTGAAGTGTGAAAGCCAGTGTTTGGCCTATATCAAGTCCCTTGTAGGTACCTATTATATAAGAAAGTGCTTAATAAATTGACTGCTGAGACTGTTATGTTAAAAATACTGTGGGGGTTACCAAGGTGTGAGCCTGAGTCTGGGCACCTGAATCCACATCCATGACTCAGCCAGGACCTTATGCAGACATTCGTTGATGTCCTTTAGCCCCTCCCCTCCCCCATTCTCTCTCTCCCCATTCTCCTGTACTCCAAGACAATATTCTAATTGCCTTGCTACACTTCTTGGGGCAGCTCAAGACACTTAAATTCAGCGTGTCCAAAATCAGACACTTTTCCTCCTCAATCAATTCCTCTTGTGACTTCTGTCCATCTGTCAGTGGTAATTAGGGACCAGGCTCACAATTTAAGAAGGCGCTCACTCTCAGGTGCCAGCCCTGCACTGGCACAGGCCCTCACCCTAGGGTTACCAACCTAGTTCATTCACACTCTGAAGCCCAAGGCTATGATATTTTACTTCACCTTTGCCCACTGCAGCCAGTCATTCTCTAAAACCTGAAGATTTTACCTCCGCAATGTCTCCTCCATCACTCCCCACTGTCTTACTCTATCTCAGCTCCAATTTAGATTAAATTAGGACTCAAAAGGACTACTGAAACAGCCCCTGATCAGCCTTCCACCTTCCTATCTCTATTCCATTTCATCCCACCCACTGCGGTCACTTAATCCTTCTGCAGCTTGGTTTTAATGCATCATTCCATCTGTTCTCTAATCTTCAGTGTTTATCCTCTGCCTGTTGAATCACTACCACATGTATAAACTCACCTCAGCAGTCTCCACAGCAACGTGTCAACCCGTCTTTCTGGTCTTACAGTCCCACCACTCACCTCCCTGTGCTTCACCCAACATTGGAATGCATTTGTACCCAGAACACATCTTATACTTTTCCACCTCGATGAGTCTGTAAGCCTGCAACCCTAGCTATCCTTCCACGCCTCACTCAGATGGGATCTATTCAACATCCTTATGGATTTCCCCAATCAGAGAGAATGCCTCCATTCCTCACTAAACAGCTCCTTGTCTTAACCCGCCTTGAGCTGCAGCCCCAGGTATACTGCCTTCTTCCCACTCCTAGATGGGCCAGCCTGCAGCTCGGGTGTCCTGCAGAATTAGACACAGTGCTTTAAGCATGGTAGGTACTTTTTAAAAAAAAAATGCAGATTTGATCAATCCCATTTTATGGGAGATGAATCAGAGGCAAAGAAAAGTGAAATGATTTACCACAAATTCCAGCACAAGTCAACTCACAGCTGTATTCCATATGAGCCTATCAATTTTATTATTTATCTTTTACTGATAACCCTGGCTAATTTATAACTAGCATAAATTTTCAAATTTTGATTACATTTTAAAGCCTATTCTAAGAGATCTAATCCTCTTAAATCCATCTATTTTTCAAACCATTTCATCAACACAACAGAGTAATGGGTACCCCTGGATGGGTTAGGGGTAGTCTCAAGTGGTCTGTTGTAGGAAAATAATTTTTTAATTTAAGTTGAATATTTTCATTTAAAAATTTATATAAAGTTCACCATAATGCCATAGGGTATCTGCATTAATTTGAACAAAAACAATGTGCGTTTTCTCCCAAAATCTGAGAAAAATTGATGCTTCAGGGAGATGTGACACAATTTATCCTATGACTTTACTTGCCATCTATTTGTAGGGGGATACCTCTCACACTGTGAGAAGCAAGAAAATAAAATATATACTTCCTCTGTTTTCATTTCAATCTTCTCATTATTGCTTCAATTACTTACTCGTGGCTTCAGGAGAAACAAGTACTAGCATTTCTAGGGAGGCCTGGCCTCCAAACTGATGCCTCACTCTGCACTGCTATCTATGGGTACAAAGCCGACTACTTCTCATCTTACATTTCCAGGCTATTATCTGACGTGGCTCATCAAAAAACCTAAGGAAGACCAGCCCACAATTTACCAGGAGGGCACATACACTCTCTTCTGAGAGGCTTATGATATCTCCTTTGAAAACCTGCCATAACAACTGAGATAGATGTCACAGCTATTAGTGTGATTTACTAGTATCCCGATAGCTGGTGTCCAGGTAGAAAGCTGAAAGTCATGCTCATTCAAATGCTTACTGTTAAGGGTGGAAAATTTTCAAGTGAGCCAACTAGCTAAGTCAGCTATAGGGAAGAAATATCTTTAGATATCAGAAGTTGCCCTACTTGCTTGTGTGTGGTTTAGGAAGTGTATTGTATAAGATATGAAGATGGCCAATGTCTGCTTCTGTAATCCATTTACTTGTTAATTAAAGGTGTTGTTCCGGGCAAAGATATGCTAACAGCCAACTTCTACTTCTGTAATCTGCTTGCTTGTTCAGGAGACCTCCAGGATATGGTCTTAAGCTTTATCAGCTGCCTCCTCTGAAAGCTCGGGGCTGATCTCTTCTAGCCCTGCGTGGTAGAGGCCCGCTAATAAGGGCTCATAATTAATCTCAATTGGCTTCGTGGGTCTCAGAATCGTTCGTGCCATAACACTCACGGCAATTTATTTGCTTTATTTCAAACCAATACATCTAGAAGGCAGGATCTGAGTCAACTCACAAGTTAATTTCCTTGGTACTGATACCAAGCCTTATACATGGCAGGTGCTCAATGAGTATTAACTAAATACATGAATTTTAAAATCATTTTTTGTGTCCTGCTCATTCTATATCCTTTAGCTATGTGATCCTCTTCACAAAATTTCACATATGAACAGTGTTCAGTTTTACCAACTGATAGGTTATTTGAGTGTGGCAGCACTAAAACCCTAAATGGTAAATGAGAGTGAGACCTAAAGCCCTGGTAGGATGGGTCTTCACTGAGTATATATTTCTCATAAAAGAGACCTGATAAACACCGAGGCCCAGGGACACTTTACATTGGCTCATGAGCTCACCTTGTC